AGTCAAGTATGTAGCACAGACGAGTGTTCATAGATTCCAGGAAGTTTGTAATATATAAAAAACATGGTTGCAAAAAGTCCCGATTTATTTTTATACAGCTCTCAAAAGTGATTGACAGTTGTTGAAACAATGGAAGAGTGCTTAGTAAATGTTAAGTATTTATGTTTTAAAAATGCCTCAGATAACACTGTGAGACTTAATCAGGTAGGTGACTAGAAAGAAAATCAGTTTCTTCTCCAAAGTTCCCTGCTACACACGTGTATACAATATAATTTTCTGTATAATGAGGGAATCAATAGTCATATTTTAGTAACTGCAATATCCAATACTACTTACTCCTTATATTTACACGTTTTATTCTGAATGAAAGCATTAGCATATAATCCCATACAGGATGTTATATGTGACAGCATCCTGTGCAAATGAAGTTTATCTCATATTGCTGCAGACTGCTGTTTAATTTATATATCAGTTATTAACACCATGCTCTATCAAGCAGCTTTGCAGTTACCACTCTTTCTGCTATCATCTTAAACAGGTTAGCCAAAAAATTAGTTTCTTAGTAGTAGTTTTTCTGTCTGATATATCACTATGATATCTTTCTTTCAACTGGCAACCAAACTAGGCTAAAAATCCTACTGTGTAACAGAGAAAAGAAATCATGTATGAACTGAATGGGAAGTTTGACCTAGACATAAAATGGTCTGTTATCCTCAGGTGAAGGGCTAGAGACCTTTGCTGGTAAGAGGCAAATTAATGAAGTTCCAGTTAGTTAGATTCTGATAAAGGAATGATTGTTTAGAACCGAAAAGCTTTTAGTGGAGGACTGAAATCTAGTGGATCCTGTTTGCTGCTTCTTTCCCCAAAAGGGGCCGCAATGGAAGTCAATAGTGTAGCTCGGTACAGGAATCCAAGAGCCTACAGCACAACACACCTTCTCGAGCACCAGTTTCTCCAGCCTAAGATGGCAACTTGAAGTATCCATACTGAAAAGAGTAAGCAAGTGATACAGTTTTGTTGAGGGATTAATTGCAACAGTATATATCCATTGTATATGTGTTAGTAAAAACAGAAACACAAGTCAGTTGATCTTTTCAGTGGATCAGCTTCAGATTTAGATCTAACTGCTCGCCCTTTGCTCATGATGCATTTGTTAGTAATTTCCACCCCTCCTCACAATTACTACCAGGAGAGTTTAAACTCAATTAAATTCTCTAGGCAGCCTAGAGAACTTCATCACAAATATTAGAACACCAGGGACTAAACCCTAAAACAGGCACAAGCAGAAAAGATAGGATCCAAGGCCTAGAAAGGTTCTCACAGCCGACACCGTAAGGCACCATGGATTCCCATTTTCCTCCAGCACCTTCCTGCTCACCAAAATGTAAGTTACTTTTAACGTATTCAGCTATATCCTTCCTTCTGCTATTTCCTCCTTGTTCTTATTATATGATTGAGATCTTTCCAAACTGAGTTGTTCCTTCCTCCTCCTCCCCCACAGTAAAATTTCTAGCAACAGCAATGTGTTAACAGGTCCAAGAAGGGTCTACACACAGATATTTTAAACTTTTAAGAATTAAAAAAGTAGTAACGAAAGTTATTCTCCCCTCCCCAAACTAGAAAAAAACAACCACAAAACAACCTTCAAATTATTTCCCACATCTTGCAGAAAAGTCAAAGTGAGGGAAATGGAACCAGCTGGCTGCTGACGCCAAACCACACGGCAGTACTGCTAGGAGTGATTTCCTTGAAATGAGGAATGCAAAGGCAAGTCCTGGGCTAAATTTTTCTTTTAAGAACAGGCACATCAACATTCAAACATTATAAATTCATCTATGGCTAAGTTATTTCAGTCTGTTTCTAGTTACATTAAAAAAAAGATTAAGTAAAAATGGAACCTTTCTATTCAAATATACTCTGATCTCAGTTTTCTTGATCTAACTTTAACATTAGTCTCAATGCCATCCAGCGGTTTCAAGTTTATCATGGGTCTTCAAATCCTGTGTGCTTTTACTACAGAGAATGGAACAAGAAAGGACTTAAGCACCCAGTCGTTGGTGTGAAACTGTTCCTGTGATATGCACTTGTGTTGAAAACATCAGAAGAGGCAGAGTTAAATGTCTCAGAGAGGTTATCCAAAACAACCAGTAAGCTGAGATTTCTAAGAAGCCAATGACAAACACTGGGGACAAGAGTTTCCCACCCTAAGTCAATACAGAAAACAGAAATATTTGACTAGGTCATGTTGGCCTGTGCAGGAATAAATTAGTTAGACTACTCACTAAAGCATGCCTGGATGGGGCACCTGAAAAGCCCAAATATCAGGCAGACAGAAAAAAAAAAAAAAAAAAAGATCAATCATGGAAGCAGATGAGCAAGCAGGGGAAAAAAAATAAAATTCCAGTTCTACAGTGTGATGACTACAGGATTTAACTGAGGGGGAAGGATGGTTCTGCTTCCTCTATTCATAATCATTTCTTACTTTTGACTACTCACTATAAAACAGTCCTGAGAACAGAGACTAAACCTCAGAACTTCCTCATCCCAGCTAAGTGAACAAAAGGAGATGTGGCTGAACTCCACACAACCAAGTATACTTTATGTGAGCTAAAGAGCCCACCTAATATACCACGCTTTTCAATAGATTTAGAGGCTGCTATGCCTATTTTCTGGATCTCACTGTGGCTTATAGCACTCCCCATCACATCTGTATGCTCCTCAAGCACTTTCATTTGCAGACACATAGGGAGAACTTTGGCATTCTGAATTGAAATGTTTGAGTTAGGTTTCTAAAATCCATTTAAGTACTTTGAATCTAGTCCCAAGCAGATTTTCTTCTTTTCTTGACAGTACAAAACAATCCTGGAATGACACGAGATGCTATTTTGCATCAAGCTGCTAGGAGAAAGCTGTCAAAACAATGTAACCACAGGATCTTTATTGTAGGGGTGGGAGGAAGGAAAAATGGATGCTCTTAAAGATTTTTCTGGTCTTAGCATCTGCTATATGGTTGCCTTTAGTTCACTGAAATGGTTCCTTTCACTCTTGATATTCCTTTTTAAACCATTACATGAAAAACAGATCAATAGCATGTACTGAAGTCACTGTAGAGCCTGTTAGCTCTGTGATCATTAAGAACAGAGAGCTATTTCCAAGTTGTTTCTTATGCAGTTACATTCTTGCACTACAAGTCAGAGACCCCACTATGGATTTTCACCCCAGGTGCACAAGCAGAGTCTCTCCCATAGAGCTGACAGAGAAGTTAACAGAAAGGGCCCACCAAGTGCAATCAGAGCCAAGCCATGCTCTCTTTCTGATGCCGATCCTACGTTACAAACAGAAGGTGACGTTACTCATGGATCGTTCTGTGCAAGCTCCTAGTAATAGCTACACACTATTCTTCCCACTCACCAAGGGACTAAAGGCATATTTTTAAATTAAGTTTTCAATTAAGGCCCAAACCCCATTATAAGCGGCTACTGAATCAACCTTCTCCCCCACTGGAACAGCACTGAACTGAACCTTCTGAACCAGAAGAGGATGGCAGCAGATAGTGAAAGGCCTTGCATCACAATTTCTCAGATGATCCCCATGATAATTCTATGTCTATGAGGGAGATGATAGGCCTTAGAGTGTAGTAGTAGAAATGGTGGAACAGCAGTTTATAGGATTTGCTTCATCATTCAGCAGTGCTTTTGGAAAGACAGAACAGTGCAGTTAGCACTCTGGAGCATGACAGAGCTTATACAATTACTATTGTAATTACTTCATATATATAAACTGGTCTGCCAGACTGAAAACTGAGCCAATTTGCAGTGTATTGTTAATGTATCAATAAAATCAGTCCAAGTCTATGACATGAGGATACTTTTCTCAAGCACTACCACAATCGGCTGGTTTTTATTTTAAAGTACCATGAAAGTCACAACAGCATGAAAAAATGTGAAATTACACACTTGTGTAACCTAGATAATGCCAGTTTGATACAGAAGTTTCTTCTGAATCATAACAATACTGTTACCAAGCTCAAACTCCAAATGAAGAGTAGACTTCTGTTATTGTGTAGTATGCAAATGTATACATCTGTGAAGGAATTTTAACCTATTCACTTAGTCAGCGTATGTAGAATAGCTAGATAGGAGGCTGGGGCATAACTTTACAGGCTAGAAGTCCCTCCATGAGTAAAAATGAAGTTCTGCCACATTAAAAATCTGGATTACATTACAGAAGAACACTTACCCCTTTTGGCGTTAAGAGCTATTGGCATTCAGCCCAATTAAAGTAAATACAAGCTGATTCAACTAAGGATTGCATCCTGGAAGAGCCATAAAAACTCAGTTCCTGCTTAACTTCAGCAGAACATGTGGTAGATGTGATCATGTCCACATCTTCCAGTATATAGGCGTAAAAACACATTACCCTCATCTCTGAAACTACAGCTGCCAAAAGCTGTATTAAAAGTTCTCACTTGTAATAATAATATTTATGGTCTGTTCTTGAGCCCAGTTTAGTCATGCTGAAAACAAATAAGAACCAGCCTCCAAAGATGCAGTACAAAAATGAATCTGAATTTGAATCTGAATTTGTTACAAGAACCTCTACACCAAGTATGCCTGAGAACTTTTTAAACTCCATAATCTCATAACTTCTAGTCTTTAAATTCTATTTTGAAAGTAAAACCTAGTAAAGCAAGATGCTAGTTTCCTTCTGAATATATAACATTACATATATAACATATAACTTACAGAAATGAATGTATTCCTCTCATAATGCAGAGGGAGACTGAAGTTTCAGTCTCTACAAAAGGCTTAACCAGAAGTAAACAGCATTACGTACAGCAAAACTGTAAAATAAAAGCTTCCCCAATGTGCTCTCAGCAATTCTGAACAAAAACTAGTTCTCCGATTCAACCATCTAAACATTTACCATCTTTTCTTAAAACTTCTTTCTGCAAAATTTTCAGGTCTCTTCCCTTTATTAACCATTTTCCAGTATTTCTAAAATACTCTTCCATATCTCTCCTACTTTTTTGGTTACACATTCCATTTCTTAATACTACTAACAGCCCCTTTCACAATAGTGTCTCAGAAGGATTAATAGCACAGTACAAACTGTGTGCAGTCAAATAAATCTTACAGGACAAAGAGAACAGAGAACTAAGCCCAACTGAGATACACTGTTCTAAGTAAGTTTACTCAGTTTAACTTGCTTCAACTTGCTTTTCTTTTGTAGCAAATGTTACCAACCAACACTCGCCTCATCTCTTCCCCCTTCAGTTCTTTACCCTTGAATTTTCTGCATGAGCTAAAAGTATTTTACCCCAGGTACAATATCCTACTCTTAGTATTAGTCTGCTCTCTACCTAAAAGAGAAAAGACAACAGAAATACAAGCACAAACATGCACTAACCTGGTGACCGTGCCTGATCGACACATAGTTTTTCTGCTGATAGATTCACCAAACGATTGATTCCTTTGTGATGGTAAAGCCATTAATAACTTATGACCCCTCTCAGGCATGACAGGAACATCTCTGCACTTCTCCTCGTTTTGTGTAATTTACAGTTGAAAGTGACTGCGGTAGCTGCTGTATGCTCAACGCACGAAAGGAAAAGAAACCCTGCCCCAACTGCTTGTGCATCTGCATTGCACTGCGGCCAAAAGGGACGCCTAGGCAATGACTTGTTTCCTTTGTTACTTCCTGTTTCCCCCAATGTTAGTGGGCAGCACTATCTTTGTCAGATTTCCCAACTTCCCAGAGAGGTTATAAATCAAACCCTGCATACCTCCGACCTCTGTCAGTTGGTGAGCCAGAAAGCAGAGGGGATTTTCCAGTGCTCACTTGTTTCCTACTCACCTTTCAATCATCTACTTTCCCTTGGAAGAAAAAGAAAGTAGCCCTTTTTTTTTTTCTTACAGCATACTCAGGCTCTCACACCAGCAGAGGCACAGCTCAGAAATGCTGCCTGTGCTTCTGAAGAGCTTCAGGTACTGGCACTGCACCACAGAACTATGGTAAGTATTTAATCTCTCTTTTCTCTCCTGTAGCTGGCGTTTGTCCTTCCCTTCTCAACCCAAGAAATTAAAACTAGCCATTTTGAAAGATCATGCAGCATATACCTGCTTTAGAGCAAGTCTTGCCTGTATGTTTGATGCTACACAAACCACAAAAGGCAATAAAATTCAAATCCAAGAGGCTCACAGTGAAAGGGCAACAATTCTACAGGACAAGTATCACCAGCTGATGATGAACAAATGCCATTGTTTTACACTTGTTTTCATATACAGCTCTTAAAAGGATTCAAGTGTTTCACTGACTTTGTCCAGAATTAACCAACACCCTAGGCTAGAAAGTTCAAATAAGACAATAACAACTAGCAAGTTTCAGAATAATGGACAAAACATGAATATGCCAAGTAAATCTTACTTCACATATTTTTTTTGAAATTGACACAAATCTGTACTCCAAAATACAGGGAAGAAGTTTCTTTATAATGTCTTTTCTTTTTGTAAACTACCCAACAGTCAAAGCGCAGAAGAAAATAACATTTCAGATAGTGGACATGGCTGTATTGGCTAGAAAAGCAATTCTCAGTCTTCACCATAGGGCGCCCATTCACACTCCTTCCATAGCCAGGCTATATAGGCAGGGGAAGCAAACCATAAATATCACACACCTGTTGTTACCTAAAGGATCAGCATATCAACACAAAATCCTGATGCTATTTAATAAAAATCAATACCCAGTTGGGTCAGTGGCTTAACAGATTTTTCACACAGAAAAGACGTAAAGAGGAGTACACCTCAGCAGTTTATGAATTAAATTCACTTGCTGTATCTGCTACAATATCAGTTACCAATTTAGACTTTAAGCATTAATACACAATGCTTTAAAGCAATCTTTCCTCCCCTAGTTCTCTGCTTTCTAAGCATACTCTAAGTTTGCATTACCATCTTTGCAACCTTTATCTCTACCTCAGTAAAAAAAGCTACAATCAAAATGACAGCAGTTGAGTACATGTAACAGTGGGGGGAAAAAAGAATTAAAATACTCAGTGGTTCTTTCCTCTTTCTGGTCTGACACTCCTAAGTCTTGGTTTTCCCCTCCAAACTCTGCAACTATAGTACCATGCTCTTTGGCCTCCAGAGTCTCATTCTAATTAGGTCTTACTTATCTGACACATGTTCCTGAAGTACTGCTTTTCCATTCTAACCTTTCTGAAGCTGTTCTCTCCCATTCTTCACTTAAGCACTCAGAAATACAAAATTTTTTATTTCAAGTTCCAAGATCCTCTTTTGATTTTTCTGGTGATTTCCAACACTGTCAAGATGGTCACAGAGTTAGAACAGAAGCCATTTCATAAATGCACACACACAAGCTGGTGTTCCACAGAGGAACATATAAAAAAAATTTACATGTTTCACAGGTTTGGATGAATGAAAAATTCAGCTTAACTTTCTAGACCAAACATTAATCAGAAGGGTGGTATTTCAAAATTGCAAATAAAGAGTCTGAAGAGACAAGAAATCTTTATGGATTTAATTAACATGTCTGTCAGGGAAGTGAAAGAATATTTAATTTATCCTTCTTCACAATGCAAAATTCAGTTTTGCAAATAACTCTAGTATATGGTTTTCAGACCACTAATTTTCATTTATCTCCACAAAATCAGTGGTGAGAACAGCTTTGCACCAAGGTAACCTAGGGAGAATTTCATTTGGATTTAGTTCCAGCAGGGCCACTGTCTGAGGAAGTCAGCCAATCATACCTGCCATGGTTAGAAACAGTTCTTGCTCCTAGTCAAAAGCAGTCCTATTTATCTTTAGTCAATGGAAAGCAAAAGCAATAAAACATACATCTGGCACTATGCTGTCCTTGCCAGTATAATTTCACTAGTCTAGATGACGGGTTGACTTGTCTCTGCAGCAACAGAGCTTCCTCTTGCTGACCAATTTACAGGAAACTGCAAGAATGGACTGTAAATAAAAGCAGTATGAGAAGAGCACAGCAAGAGGTGAGGCAGAAAAATTAACAAAGCGACAAAAAAACCCCAACCATAGAAACTACTTTCCTTCAGCTGCAGCAAGTAGTCAGCTCAGTAGTCACATTCCAGTCAGAAATATAAGAGTTCATATATTATATATTTCCATAAAAGCCTACAGTATAGTAAGGCATTAAAGGCCACATTCTGTTAATGTTTTACTGACTTTAATGAGCTTGAATCAGGAGTAGATTATTCTGAGTTCTATTATTTTATTAATTCTACCAAACTAGTTTAATCCCAAGTTTCTAGATCATAGTGGAAACACATCCACTATGCTGAGAGATGATATATCTGTCAACTGTATACTCCACAACTGCAGATTGTAGAAGAACAAGTGTAAATTACTTGCCTGAATCCTTCATCTGCTAGGTAAGGCAGTCCTGTGAAAAATATGAATAACCATGCATCAGAATTACTTCTGCTGGGTGACCTCCAGCACAACAATAATAACAATAAAAAACCCAAACAAAACAGCAACAAAGGGGAGAAATTAGGCCAGAACTTCCAAAAATCCTTCGGATGTGAAAGAATTCCTATTCTTTAAACTTCAACTATCATTGAATCATAGAGTGGTTTGGGTTGGAAGGGACCTTAAAGATCATCTAGTTTCAACCCCCCTGCCATGGGCAGGGACACCCTCCACTAGACCACGTTGCCCAAAGCCCCATCCAACCTGGTCTTAAAGACTTCCAGGAATGGGGCATCCACAACCTCTCTGGGCAACCTGTGCCAGTGCCTCACCACTCTAACAGTGAAGAACTTCTTCCTAACTTCTAATCTAAATCGACCCTCCTTCAGCTTGAACCCATTCCCCCTTGTCCTGTCACTCCACTCCCTGCCAAGCAGTCCCTCACCATCTTTCCTGTAGGCCCCTTCAGGTACTGGTAAGCCGCAATTAGATCTCCCCGGAGCCGCCTTTTCTCCAGGCTGAACAACCCCAACTCTCTCAGCCTGTCCTCACAGGAGAGGTGCTCCAGCTTTGTGGCCCTCCTCTGGATTATCACTCCCTCATTCAGCTTACTTAGGAAGAGCTGAAGAAGCCTTAATAATATATTTACTTATACATATTTTAAAAAGTAGCTGAAGCCTTGATAATATATATTCAATCGAAAAGTGAGAAACACTTCAGGTCAAAAAGCTTCTGAGTTTTTATTTATACCCCACTGCTTTTAAGCTCTGAACATCTATGGACATATTGTTGGCTTGGAACTTCAAAAAAGCCAGCCAGCAGTGGTGTGCAATAAATAAGCCGTACTTAGGAGAAAGAGCACATCAATTTTAAAACAAAGTTGTAACTTTTCTTAGTTGTTTCACCAAACAGCTTGGCACAAGTCCTAGAAGATGATATACTGACTTTGTTTTTGGGATATGGTTAATGTCATATACTGCTCAAACATCTGTACACCAAAAGTACAACCGCGGTATACACATAGCTTGTAAAAAACAAAATTACACTGTGCAGCTGGAAGAGAAGAACCTTCTGCAAACTCTCAATATAAGAACATTATCATTTAACAGATTCCTTTGCATCAGCTAGCCTTGAAAAATAACTTAAGACTTCATACTGATATAAATAAGGGTTGAATTCAAATCAACAGTACAGCTATCTTAGCATAATTTTCTGCTGGCAATTTTATTATGACTAGCTTTTTGAGTTAAGTTTAAGGGATTTCCACTGAATTGAAAGGCCCCTCAAAACTGCATAGGAGCATTCACTCAGCAAGTTAGCTGGATGTCAAGTCTATGCCAGACCAATCGCACCAGTAACAAACACTTGGTATAAGAAACACTTAAAATAGAAGGCAAGTTCTTAAAAATTTTTGCTGCTTATCATGTTTCTTTAGAATAAATTCAAAGATACATCATCAAGGCAAGTCTTCGATTCTCATTTACTATTCAAACCAGATGGACAGGTTCTTTGTTCCTTTTAACTGTTACGTATATACATTCTTGTAAAAAGGACTGTAAATGCTATGATTAACTGATATCTTTCATCAGTACTTGTAGAACAATTTAAACTAGACCATACTTTAAAAAAAATCACGTAACTGAGCAGCAGTACAAACATGATTGCCAAAGTCCTATTCCCGCAGTTGTGCTGCGGACAGCTGCAAAGGGAGTTTCCCCAAATACACGAAGACACTTAAAGTGGGAGTTTCCACAAATTATTTATTTCCTTGGCAGAAGTTTTTAAATTTAAGATATTACAGTTGAAACAATTTTACTGCTAGGCTGGTTTGTGATGTACTGCAAACAATTTATCACTAATGTACTCATAGTTGATAATTCAGGAGGCACTCTTGGGCCACAAAATTTCTGCTTACATATCAAAACACCTTTAAGCATTTAAGCTGGTAAACCACTAAACTTTAGTAAAAGCAACATCTAAATAAAGGCTTTTAGGAATTGACAAGAGGGAGTCAAATATCCATTACTGATTATAAAGCATATCTGATTGGTACATTTAACCAGCAG